GTGATCACGGAGGCAGAGAGCAGATATTTCAATGGCAATTCAAATCACAGTTAAATTTCCACCGAGAGCAAAGTTCCCAGGAAGTTTAGCTTTAGTCAGTTTCTGTGTATTCATATTCCCAGGAGCATCACCAAGCTCTCTGTTGACAGAAAGTCTAAAGAGCATGCAGTGCTAGGCAGTTTCATCAGAGTGAGCTGTGTACCAATGCAAGACACTCAACTACACTAGAATCTGAAACACACAATTTTTCTCTGAATAATAACATTGGGTTTTTATCCCACCCTCAAAAAAAAGGATCTGAAACAACCAGCTCCTTTCAAATTCTACATATGCACAGGAGAGGCTGTTTGTGAAGAGGACCCCACAAGCACATCACTTCTCTAATATGTGCCCAGCTTAGTTTCACCTGCTTCCATGTGCTCCCTTCCCAATTCCTACAACCTGCTTGCACATCCTGTTTCACTATGAACACAAGCTTCTTCCCTGTGGCAGCAGCACTGCCTTCACTTCTCCTCATGGTAAGCTTAGACAACAATCAAAATGGGAGCAAAAAAACCAGACAAATTTACGGGTCTGAAGGGTGTTGGAGGAGCAAAAGCAAGCAGAGAGAGAGGGTCTGTAAAAAGGCTCCACCAGCAAAGGAAGCACAAGCAATCACAAGTCTTCCTCTCATTGTATACATGTGCTTTTCTTGATGCACCTCTTAGTGTAAGGATTTCTTGTGTTGTTTAAAACTCATTTACTTCTTCATTTATGAGGTACAACTTTTTATTTTAAATACACGTAGAAAATCTGTTGAAAATTAAAATGCTCACATGAAAATTTGCCATGCTGACAACAGGGACCTTCTGTGTGTATGTGCACGAGCAGGGGCATGCACACAAACAGATGTGCATTCACATCTGTGCTATATATCTTCCGGAAAAGGACTGTTCCCTTAAGTGTCCTCGAAGTGAGAAAAGGAACAGAGGGAGTGTGCAGCACTGTCACACAGCCAGGCCATGCTCCTCTGCTCCAGTCTCAGAGACAACCAGCACTGAAATCAAAGTCCATTTTCCTGCAGGTCCCATCCAAGTCCCTCCCCTTGTCTGAAGGTACATCATCCCTGCAGCACACGGCTGCATTGACTCCAGGGCTGCAGTCGCTGGCGGGGCAAGAGGCTGGGCCACCCCTGCCTTTGTGCTGCTCTGATGACAGTGCCATCAGCCACAGAGGGGGAGGACAGTGTCTTCAGGGTCTGGGATGCAACGAGGGAATCCAGGTCAGCATCAGAATTTAACAGAATTGTTCTGCTGAGTTATTAACGTCACAGTCCTACTCCAGACCTGAGTTTGTTGCGCTATCTTGCCTTCCCACTCCAAATGAATTTGCTGAGCAATTTTAAGAAACAGAAAAAGGCTGTGACCAATTTTCAGGCCTTCTGATTTAGACATTAAAAAAGAAAAAAAAAAACCTACAATGTTTCCCTCTTGTTTTTCTAAATAAAAATAATGTATAGCCCTAACTGGATAATAAATATGCTCAAAAGCTGTCCTTAAGTAAAAGCTTTTGATAACAAATTGCCTGTGCTAACCGCTATTTTACTGTTGAATTTTTTATTGTTGCTTAAGCACTGCAATTATGCTAATAAGCCTGAGAGGATGGTACACTAAAGCATTGAATGTGACAGATATAATACTCAATAAAATGTTAATCTTACCTGAAAATTGGAATCAAACAGCCTTATTAGTATTTATGGATATGGCATCTCCAACATGTTTCTTAAGAGGTATATATATATATGCAATAGATATTTCTAAATATATCCTACTATTTCTCATGCCTCCATTCAATTTAATTCCAGGTGGCTATTACCCCTGCTGCTAATTGCCAGTCCCTTTTGGAATAAGAAAAAAAAAGTGTCACTTTCTGGGCCATGCAAAACTCCTGTATACGGAAGGGCTTTTCCCCTCAGCACCTGAAGGATGGTAGCTGTCCATGGAGATGGGAATACCTCTCCCCAGTTCACGGCATGGCCACCAGACTTGTGAGGGTATGGCACCAGACAACAAAGGCACTGCTCTGCCATCCTCAGTTCCCCCTTTTTCCCCATATCTTCTCCTGTTATGAGCAAGGCAGGTAAATCCAGAAAAGGGTTATTTACAGGTGCTGGAGAAACAACTTCTGGATTTTAAGATGGGCCTAAAGACAAATTTATTTCTTTTATTTTTGAATTTCTCAGCTGATGCTGACAGGCAACCAGACCCATCTTCACTGCAAGTTACTGTGCTGCTGACTTGGTCTGGCATGGAGGTGCTGCATGACCTTCCACAAGCTGCATTGCTTTTTGCACCATTATTTCACCACCCAGTCCCACTCTGCTTTCTCAATTGATAGCATACATTTTTTCAGGGAACTTGCTGCCTTTCACCACACGTAGCTTTTTTTTTTTTTGGCCAAACCTCTGGGTTTCAGATCCACAGCCTCAGAGCTCCACTAACATGAACTTCCTGTGGTCAAAGCAAGTGATCTTCAATACCTTCACTTTCTCATCTATGGAAGGAAGAATAGATAACCTCAGAAGAGCCACATGCCTCTGACAAACTATTTCTATGCAACAGACTGTGTGGCTTTCAAACACTGCAGGTTAATGCCTTAATAGCAGCTGCTGGCTCCCAGTTTCACTCCTCATGCTGCTCCCAGCCACAGGAGTCAATTTTGCTGACAGGACAGCAGAAACATTGACAATCACCATTATATTTCCTGACAGTAAAGCATGATTCTTGACACTGGATGCTGCAAGCCTCCTTGGTGGCAAACATTAAGTGGGAGACATCTAGGAACTGTTTCCATGAATAGTCACAGCAAGGAAAATGCAACCAGATTCCAACTGAAATCTGGGATTCTCAAAGCACTCAGAGATCACAGCAAGCAACCCACAGGCCACAACTCACAACATACCAGGATGCACTAAGGCTCTCCTAAGCCGCTCTTGGAACACACACTGGCTTGTGCCAAGTGCAAGGATCGAATGCAAGGATGAGAACGGGATGACTTTGCAGGACAGAGCTTAGAGCAGCTCCACAAAACCTCATTTGCAAGCAAAAGCAAGGAGTGCAGCATTAGAGGGAAAAAAATTCAGTTGCAAAATCAAAGAGAACTCCTAATTGACTGAGCTGGCACCTTCAAGATTCAGGAGATACACCCAAGGATCCTCCTCCCCAAGTGAGCCCCAGCACCAGATGCCAAATTTCAGGTGCAGCCGCCAAGTTACCCAGGCACAGAGCTGCAAAGTGCTGCAGGATCATAAGGCAGTCACTCCCACAGAGGTGGCAGGACTCACCCCTGCCATGTTAAGTGAGTCTTGTCATTATTTTCAACCCTGCAGGGAAATCTAAATTGAACTTTGGCATATTGTTTTCTTTTGCTAAGCAGCAATGCTTGAATGTTAACTCTGGTCCTGACAGGCATATTTATGGAGTATTCTTTGCAAATAATCTTACCCTGACCAGTCCGAAAGGTCAGAATCATAAAAAATAATAACAACAATAAAAGAAGCACAAGGCTGGAAAGCCATCACTGCCATTGGCACAACCACTCAACTTATTAACCGTCCTTGAAACAAGGTGAACTGCAAGGTCTTGGACTTATTTGATTGACTGAGATCAAAAGATCAGGGGGGCACACAGTAAATTGTATCTTTCCATGAACGCATTTTACTTTCAAGATTTCAACAGATAGTTGCAGGAATTGAAAAGCTCAAGAAGGGAGGGGCAGGGAAGAGAAAAAAAAAACATGTAAAAAGGTGACTTCAGAAAGGCATCCCTTATTTCTCTCTTGACACCATCTGCATTTCTTAGAACTATTTGAAAGTTTCTTCCATGTTCCCATGCCCCTGGGACACAACAGCTTATCTCTGCTAAGCAGAGGACGATAATGAACAATAAGACACTAGTGTAACTCCAGGGCAGACTAGCATTTGCTGATACTAAGAATGAAACATAAATAGTACAGAAACCAAAGATCCAACAAGAGGTTGAATTTCAGATGTCCTGTGAGATAGGACAGATATCTCACTGATCTTCTTTACCAGACCAAGGAAGACGAAGCACCTGAACCCCACTCTTCTCAGTATGATGGCTCAGAGGCTGCCGAGCCCAGGCTCAGTTTGTCATCAGCAGCTCCCAGGGAAGGGAGGAAGAAGCAAGGGAACTAAAGGAGCAGCCATCTTCAGGATATAATTTCAAGACCCAGCTGGTGAGCCAGCATTTTTAAACTCAGGAAAAGCCTGCTGTGTTTGCTGTCAAAGCACGACAAAGAAACACAATGGAGAACAAGAACAGAAGAGAAAGAGAAGAAAAATTAAACTCTCCTCCATTTCATCAGCCCTGGCTCCAATCTCTCTGCGTTCCACATGATATTTGTGTTTTGCTCAGTATATCTGTAGCTGTAGCATTGTGTTCTCATGTCACAATAAAACATGAGATTGCCCACCTAAGAGTAAATCTCTTATATGGACCACAGAAGAGAACCAAACTCCCAGAAACTTTCTACAAAGGAGTCAGAATTGATACAACCTCCTGTTTTTACCACAAGTTTATGCTGCATGCCAACAACAGAGGATTAAACCTCTTCTTCTCACTGAGCTTACACTTCCCTCCAGAAGAACATCACCATTCAGGTAACAAAGACACTGAGCACCAGAATTAATTGCTGTTGCATCAATTCATCATCAAACCATGCAGCTCATTCTGCACAGATACACTGACCTTTGCCTTTCAAACTATCAGCTTTAATGCAGGAGATCATCACTAATGCCTCAGCTAAATTTCTCTTGCTGCAACTTAAGTTGATAACTTGTCTTATTTACAGTGGACAGATTTACAATTTTTTCCCTTTCTCCATGACAAGTTCATTATTTCCAAAATTTACAAGCTGAGGCACCAGTGCTGCTTGACTTTGCCATTCTGCTTCTGCCCAAACCACATTCTTAATCTCTGCATGTGCATTTCTCTTCTTACCCCAAGAGAGCAGGCAGTTGGGTATCAAGAGGCTGTTTCAAGAGAAGACGCTCACATCCAAAGGCTGATGCATTCAGGCACACCCAGTTACAAAGTACTCTGAAACATGGAAAAGAAAAGAATTGTCTTCAGTATGGCAGACAGTCCAGTTCAGTCGTAAAGGAAAACCCAACAACTCTGAAGTGGAATTTTTCCCACCCCATTATTTAACATGCAAACAGATCTTCAAAAGCAACATCAATGACTGCAGATACATCGTGAGCCACCACTCAAACCTGGCCACACTTTCTCTGACAACCACCATAAGTGTTTGATAAATCTCAGTTCTAGGAAAGTGTTCATGGATTTTGCAGAAAGTTCTGCCAACCTATAAGTTATACACAGCACACATCAAAATAAAATGGCTCCAACTCCAAACATTTATGTACTATGACAGACAACAAATCTTAATGTTACCACTCGTGACTTTATTTACAGTGTCACTGAAACCAACAGAGACAAGACTTCTAGTCTACTCTGAGATTTAAATGTGTGTAATTATGGGAGAGACACAGAGGATAAAAGTCAGGCCTTATGAATGGCTGAATAACTTTTGTGTTCCCAAGATAGTCCTTACCTCCATCTTCAGGATATTCTACCTAGCAAAACAAAATCTTTCTCGTGAACCCAAGGGTTTGGTGACAATGTAGAAAGAATAAAGAAAGGATTTACACTGAGTAGTGTTTGGAAACACAGGGGAGAGTTCTGAATATCAAAAACATCCCAAATTTCATGAGAGATAACAAGTAAAAAGGGAGAGGAGCAATAATACATTTCCCATCCTACTTCTGGAGACTCTCAGAAAAGCAGAGCTAAATGGTAGCAGACAATTTGCCACAACTGCATCTTTCAGCAGTAGATCACCTTTTGCATCCCCATCTCATCTAAATTCCTGTCTCCTCTCAGCAGGGACTTCTCCTAGTCCCAAAGGATCAAGTGGCTTTGTAACAAATACACCTTTTCTGAGGGCTGAAGTCAAGAAACACTCAATTTGCCATCTGCTGTGAAAACAAGATTTCTGTTACACATCTAAGGATGTGCCAATGCAAAAACTCGGGGTCTTCTCTTTCGCATGCATCATCCATCCAACTGTTCCTTTGGCTACTGCACTTTGTTCATCTCCAAGTTTCTACTTGGGATGTTTTTTTTTCCCCTCTGCAATCCTTCTCAGCTGCCCTGGGCTTTTGCTTTCCTTCATCACTTGCACTCTTACCAATGCCAACACTTACAGCCAGCCAGCCCAACTGCTGTCAGCACGGGAAGGTGACAAACTCCTATTTAACACAGATTTGATAACAGAAGTACTGTTTTTAATGCTAGAGAGGAATACCTGCACCAATAACGTCCCTAAAGCAGCACACAGTAGCTGAGGAGACTAAAAAATAAATGCCTCTTAATGAAGACGAAAAACTCAAAACAATCTCAAAATATATGATGGACAAACTACTAAGAGTCTAAATGCATGCTCTTCTTTAAGAGTGGAAGTAGCTCCAAGGACTTCAGCAAGATCATCTGCAGCACCAGACACGTCACCTCCCAAAATATTAGTGAGATAAAGATGTTTAGCAAAGGATAGAGATATGAGGAATGCTTCCACCAAGAAAATACACCCATTTCTACAGCTGAATTACAACAGCTGTTGAAAACCATGGAGTAGCATTGAATGGCAGCCCAGGACAGGGAGCCAAGACGACTACCACATGCAATTGAAACTGCCAAGAGATTAAGTTAGGTCAAATGTAATTACACAAACTGGATCCTGGCCAGAGTGCTGGCTGGTTTAAGAAAATTAAAAGAGGTGTTCAAAAGTTTCAGAGATGGAGTCCTCCTCCTGTTAATTATTTGGTGAGTCAGTCACTGAAGTCTCTACTCTGGGAGGCTGTCTGAAAAAGGGGAAAAAATGAGGCATAAACTTGAAAGGCATTAGAAGCGATTAGCAAAAGCCTTTGTTCTCCATGGCAATCCTGGCTGCACCAGTGCACGAAAGCCTTTCATGTTCATGCTGAAAAGTGGCCTTAGTTCCTTTGATACTTCTGTGAGGAAGCGTTTAAATTTACAAATATCCTGCTGACAGAAGTTACAGACAACAGTCGAGGAACTTCTGCTTAGCCCAGCCAGGTCATACCCATCTCTCAGGCAGGCAGTACTCCTGCTGAAAGGAGGAATGACAACATGGGCACACACTCACCGAGACCTGAAGACTCTAGTTGCTAGTGGTGTATGAAAGCCAAGTCATGTCAATAAGGAGGTTGCAGCCAGGTGGGACAATGGTATCCTTGCCTTCATTCAGTTTTCAGAAGATGGGGAGTGTGCAAGGCAGGCAATGGTAAGGAGACCAGAAAGGATGCTTTGTGGTCTGGCAGCTAAGCATCACTTGGAAAGATTAGATCCTGTTTATGCCTCTGCCATAAACCTTCTGAATGATAGGAGCAAAGTCACATATATCATTTTTTTCCCATATATTTATTGCTTTGCCCTTTCTGGCTAAGATACAGAAAGACCACGTCCAGAAGAGATTAAGATTCTTTGTTCAACCTTTAATTGAGACTTGTACTATAACCATGTACAGTGCTACAAAACATGAAGTGTTCTGAAAAGACAGGCCTTGTAAGTCTCGGTTTTGGCACCTGAAAGAAGTAGATGCCTCTGCTACTTCTGCATCTGGAAGTCATCATTAGAGATACACACATTGCTGTCTTTGAAGCAGCTGGATGCGACAGTAAAAGCATTACAGAATTGGAGATTAACCTTTTTGGGTAGCTTATTCAGTGAAACGTTCAGATGATGCACATTAAACAAACCATTTTATGACTGATGCAAAAAAAATAGGGAGACATGAAATAACTATCTTCTCAACAAGTGTCACACCCGGCGTGTCAAGTGACATGGCTTCCTCTCGCAGTGACAGCAGGTGAACATGCAACCGACGCCTCTGCCATATCAATTTCATGTCGTTTTCCCTTTTTTTTTTCTTTTAACTTTTCATAAAACAAGCCAGGAAAAGGCAGAGATTTCACAGCACAGATTGGTGCAATTTGTGCTAATGGCCTAAGTGTAGATGCAAGCAGCAGCTTGCTTCTCTCTGTGTGGAACAGCCAACGGGGACAATTCTGGTGGTACAACTGCTACCACGGCACACCTTGCCCCAGCAACACCTCCTCCTCCCACGGCTCCACAACAAGCAGGGCAAGAACTGAGAGCACAGGAGAAAGTCTGCTGTCTTGCCATTCTGTGCAAAATCCAGGGGCAAATGTGGAAAACGTGAAAATGGGGAAACGTGGAAAAATGTTGCAGTCTGCACTGACCACACACAAGCTGCTGGTCTTCCAAAGACAGTCAAGTGTTCTTCCAGGTAGCAAAACCACAAATGTCCTAAATTCCCCATCCCTGGCAATCCTATGACAAGGCAATTGTTCCCGTGGAGTCCTCAGGCACCCACAGATTTCTAAATAGGAGCAAACCAGCATGGCAATTCTTCCCATTCTTCCCAAACACCTTCCAACCAGCCTCCACTGAAGCCACTTCCGCTGGAAAAACCCACAAAAAGAGGTTTTGACAACAGCAGAGACCTAGTATAGGAAACCAGAGCCAAAAGGGCACAAGCCAGAGAAGATTGTAAGCAGCAGGTATTGTAATGCTTTCTGAGTTTAAATTATTCAGCAAGGTCAACACAGAGTATGTATTTACCTCCAGGCCTGTATATGCCCCAGGCTGCCCGCACCAACAGCGCTGAGACGAAGGCAGCACTGGGTCTCTGCTGGGTCCCTGCAGCAGAGCCCCCTGGCAGCTCCTGGCCCTGAGCATCCTCATTAGCAACAGGTGGAGGGGACACCTGACAACAATGTCATTGCCCTGAACAGCACAGGCCTCAGCCCTTCTCCTCCAGCCAGGATGAAAAGCTGGGCAGCGCATTCCCATTGCAAGGAGCACCGACCCCGCTCCTCGAGGAACGCCACTGCATCACCAGTGCCACGTGTGGGCACCACTGCAAGTCAAGGGAAAGCACAGGGCTGATTCTACACACACTACAAAGAACAGATTTTTCAGCATAATGAGCACACTGGGCCAGCCCACAAAGCTGAGGCCGAGTAAACCAGGGCAGCGTGCAGGGGGACATCCCCCTGAGGCAGCAGTGGTGATTAACTGACAGAGATAATGGCCTCCAGTACCTGAAATGAAGTGCAAGGAAATGGCACAGAAAGGACTAATGCCAAGTGGCAACAAAGACAGAGTCCGGGCTGTTGTTCAAATAAGATTTTTTTTTTGCCTAGGTTACTCAGTGTTAAAAAAAGAAGTTTCCACATGCAGGGACATCCTGCTCACTGTATTAAATTAAAGGGATGATTCAAGAGGGAACGGCTTTCGGTAGACTGGGGGGGAAATCAATTTCAGGTTGCTATGGACAACTGGGCTGTCTCCTGTAAAATAGAATCCGATTCAGCTCTACGAACCTGAACGCAAAACATTCCCTCAAATACAACATACACAGGCTCACTAAATTAATGAATACAATAAAATACAGACTTGTGTCATCTCCCAGGATTTTTGGCTGAATGAATGACATGCTCAAACTTGCTAATTACTGCAAAATACAGGACTGGAGTTTGGCTCAGCAGTGGCTTTCTGACTGCCAGTCCAACACCGACCGCTGCCTTGGCTATTTAATGGCCAAATAAACCAGAGCAGTGCTCATTCACCTTGCTCTGGGCCCTTTCATGTGCTCTGGGCTTTCAGCGGGACCTAAAACTATGTTCTGCTGATCCAGGCTCCTGCAGATCTCAGCCAAAAGGGACCGCAAAAGCTCAGCCTAAGGCTTACAAGCATGTCCTAGCTGATACTGGACAGAGGCAGTTTTAACCTGCCCATGATCCGTGAATAGCCTGAATAGAAACAACATTTCCATTTGAGCAGCTGACCTGTGGTCACAGCTGCCAGTAGGAACCTCGCATGGACAGACCACTGAGGACAACATGGTGGCCATAGTCAAAGAGGTGTCCTCTCCTCATACCTTGCACTGGAATAATTTCAAGTAGGTTTTAAGCACTATACCCACTCCCTGC